GCATTCTGAAATGTGACATAGTTCCTTCTTCCATTGAATATTTGGGGATCTTTTGATGTATTAGTAACGTAGGAAACATAATCTGTACAAAAATTACAATAATTTTGTAAGTAGGCTAAGTTCTAACGTCATGTAGTTCTGTAATGGAAAATCGTCTGTTAACAATAATAACACAATGGAATGTGTTTCCGTTTGTTTCGAAAAAATAAAAGTGGACCGGTAGAGACTGAATGCACATCTGTAATAATACTTAAAAAATCAGATTTTTGTAAATTAAGTCGTGTTAAAACAGATTCGAATGGCCCATGTGGGCCTCAAAATAAACCTCGTGGTTTTGGGATGTGTTTACGTGTTGACTGACGTGATGTATACGGTGAAACAGAAGGGTGGTTTCCATTATTTCTTAAATGGATATAAAACAGTTATTTTAAGGTAAGATGAGCCAACTTAAAAGTTGAACCGGTTGAAACTTTCCACTGCTTGAATCCTCCCCTCCCCCTTTGCCCAACCGAATGGTAATGCAAAACAGGAAATCCCTGAATTTTATTTGTCTATTTTGTGCACTCATTTTGTGTGGTAACTGGAGCGTGGCTAAGTAATTTGATTCCCAACTGAAGAATTATATATTAACCGACCTGGTGGACAGAAATGCTTAATTCCTTTCCACTAAAGAGTCACGCTGAAGGAACCAGATCATGCTCTGGCAATTAAATATCAAGACACTTTATAATTCTGGGCGATGTTCAATAACAAACATAAATACGATCCACATTTAATGGTCTGTAACACATATTTTCTCCAACCTCTGTCCTAGTATAAGGAACTGTGGTAGTCTAATAATATTACTTTAAAAAATAGGGAACGTTCGTTTGTTTGGGTGGGGTGGGGTGGGGGGTTGAAAAGAAGCTCTGAGGAGAATGGGCTATTTCAACCAGAGAATTAGGCGAGAGAAGGCAGGAGCTTCATAAGGTGTAGGCTAACTCTAGTTCAAATACAACCTTGAAACAATGATAAATGAAAGAGAGTGAGATGGCCGAAGGAAATGAGAAATGCATTTTTGCTCGAATGCCTTGGAGTTTGAGGTGTTAGGATAATATTGAAATGGGCATTTAGGAAATTGTGTGTGAGAATTTTGAGTCAGCTGATTGATGACAGTGTCCACGTGTGAACACAGCACCTTGCGGTTTCGTAACAGACGGAGAATGTCTTGAGAAGTTGAACTTGTGAAGAATATGGCACCACGGAGGCGTAAGAAAATTAGTTAATATGGAGATAGGATAGTGTTCGGTAGTGCATGTCGAGTGTATTCTGAACCTAGACAATATAATTTTAACTTTGACCTTGAAAGCCGGTTGTAATTACTGTATTATTAAAGTTCATATGTAAGATGAAGAAGAAGAAGAACAGACTCGTTGCTGTCCAACAAAACAATGACCTCCGGATGTATCCGATCGGAGTACCAAACGTAACGGAAGAAATTCCCAGTCAGTGCTGGAAACCAAAGTCCATCATATGTTCAGTCACGGTTAAAAGGAAGGGAGACAGAATTTCATATTATTGTATCATCTTACTTCGAATCAGAGGATTTAATTCAACCTTTTATTGTACAACGCTGAAAACAAGCAGCGACCCACATTTCACAATGTGCATTGTGCTTCTAGATGCTCAGGCACGGTTGAATCAATATTTCTCATGCTGTTAAGTGAGGTTATGTAAACCACTTACGTATTATTTAATCGTTGACGAAGCGCAAGTGGACGGACGGGTAGTTTAGTTGTTGACAGCAGGCCAGGCGTTTGCTGCCTGAAGTTACTGGTGAAAAATTCAAGCAATTCATCGTAATTTACTGAAAGTGGCAACGAGATGTAAGTGATAAGGGAAATGGGTTTGGGGGTCGGGAATGTTGTTCATTCAAAAATATAAGGAACGAAACCTTAAGAACTAGTTCTTGAACCACAATAAAGTTGAATTATTTGTCTTATTGTTGGCAGATATTGTCGCCTGCACTGCGAACACAATTCAAATGTGTTCCATAAGAACAAGCAGCGTACTTAGAATATCATGTCAAAGATTGTTTTGGATGGGAGAAAGCTGGAAATATGTACAGAATTTTGGAAGGGGAGCTTTGAATGTGGTCTGCTGGAAGACCAAGAAAGGAGAGGTATGGGATTTGAGAATGGATTGTGAACTACATTGAACTAGCCCAGAATCAGTTTCATTAGTAGGCTTTTCTTTGGCTTTGGCAGTATTGTGTTTTTTCTGAATACCTGTTTTATTTGCAGATGTTTTTTAGTTTTATACATAATGGGCATGTATAATTTAATATGCTCACGATAGGGCCCCAAGCTTTTGTCATGTGTCACTCAGCACTATCGTGAGTCATCTGAATCCAGTTCACACACACACTTTTCTTGACAGATTTGTTGAAGTAACTGAGTTTATTACTCTAACAATTTTAATTACAAATTTAAAAGGTCTCAGTCCCAACTGTCAGTCTGAAAATCTTTTCATGAAAATGTGCTTATAAAATTTTCATGTTTCATTGATAGAGGAAGTTACATACTCTTATTTCTCATAATGCTATCACATCCTGTATGGAACCTGAAGGTTCATTACCATGGTTACAAGACTCTGCCACTGGTTTGTATCCTGAGCTATATAATGAGATCCATTTTAATATTATCTTGCTTCCTATACTTAGGTCTCCAAAGTGGTCTTATCCTTTCATTTTTCTGAACACAATTTTGAATGCATTCCTTAGTTATTCCATGCCCTTCACATCAAAGTAGGCCTTCTTCAGTTATTAATATTAATTTAATTACATGGCAAAGTAATTATAGGTAATATAATTCTAAATTCAAAATTGGGTGCCAAATATTCAAATTGGCTTCAAAGACTATATTTTTCAGTGTGTGCCATGGTTTGAAAATGTACACCGCTGCTATATTGCACTTCTTTGGAGCTGTGTAGATTTTCAAATTTATTTTCAATTTAATTTGCGTAAACTAATTTTATTCTCTTTAGAAATATATATATTTATATCAATACAATATCAACACATTTTTTTGTTTTGTTTGGATCTTTTAAAAGTTGAGTAATAGATATGAAATATCAAGGTCACTAAGTTGAATACAACATCGTGATTTTGTACTATGTACCATTCAGACGTCTTTTGAAAGTGGAGACTGTAAGCTGCTTCTGCGTTACTGTAGTTTCGACAAGACATTGAACAAGTTCTTTATCTGTAAGTTACTAACAAGATGATAGAAATACATTACACATTGTAAATAATAATATTTTATGTATGACTTCAAGATACTAAGATTTTTAATCTTTAATTGAATAAAGTAAGGCTGCATTATTCTTTTGTTCGTCATCTGTTTGAGTTTCAATGATGTAGTTTTTTCTGTTTAATTCCATTATTATTTTCAAAGTGTAATTTAGGATGACATTTGTAGTAAACTGTTTGTTTTTTTATGTTGTGAATTTTCATCAACATCAACAGCACATTAAGCAGCAGGCCTGTTCTAGTCACATGAATTTATTCCTCATCTCTAGCAGGTTTTGTAGTCTGTCTTTATCCTCTGTTTTTTGTAATAAACTCTCTTGTAATTTTTAACAAACATTCAGATCCTCCTTTATTTACAATTTTGTATAATCTGAGACATCGCTTGCCATCTCTTAAAAATGTCAGTACTGTTGTTTGTTGTTTTGTTGTTTACTGAGACATTTTGAATCTTTCATATACGTTCCTGAATCTGTGTTATAACTCAACTTTATAAGTTCCACCTGGTTCATTCTAAGCTAAATAATTTCTGTGATACTGACATCATTATATAATGCTTTGTGCAGTTGGAAATAAGAGTAGAAGTTAAAATGTGGTGTCCTTTTAATTTTGTCTGCCAGTTGAAAAGGTCAACTTTCACTGTTCACCACAAATCGATTGTTACGTCACTTCTTGTTTTGTTACGTTTATCGAGGTCTACTTAGAAATTTATATTGAAAGGCTGTATCTATGTAGGGCAGCCGGTCGGATTTGTGTCGCTTTGTTTAGCTCTGTCACTGCTTTAATAACTTCTTCAGTAATTTTCTGTTATACCACCTATTCTCATTTGATCTTGCAATTAACGTCGCCTGCGTCCAAGGTCCCAAAGCTATTTATCTGGGTGAGGTTACAATAATAATTATAAAACTGATTCGTGTTATTCAAATTAATTCAGACACCTTCGTTGATGTTTCAATAGTCACATGTGCTGAAAGGAAGGTTCAGCCGAACGTAAAGAGAATGTGAATAAACTTAATGATTTGTCAAGGTCTCTTAGGAAGTACTTATAGCTTGGACACCTGATATTCAGTTTGGTGTCCTGCAGCTCAGATCGTGTATTGGTGAGCAGGACGTAACATTGTATTGTTATGAGGGCTGTGACGTAACAGTTAATGTTACCTAGTATATGTTTTCAAGGCAGTTACGAATAACACCGGATACTCATTTGCAGGTTACGAAGTCTTTCGGCTGCTGGAGTCGAACTGGAGGCAGCTCCAGTGTCAAGTAGGCAGGTATCAGGAAGTACAGGTACGTATTCTTTAAAGAGGTTTGGTATTGTATTTTCAAGTTGGATGCCATGCTGTTATATTATATCTAGTGAATCACATATACCATCAAAAGAAGGCTTGTAGTGGATCTTGAACTGTTTTTATGTACAGACACAATCATGGAAACTTTTATCTTGAACTTGACCCTCAAGAAGACAGAGGACAACATGGGAGTGATATAAGTAATGTAACAGATGCGTTTGTTTACAGAATGATGTATGCAACCAACGTCAATCACTGTTGAATTACTCTGAATTAGTTTAACCCTTTGATGCATGAAATTCATATAAATAATATTTAAGAATTCAGTTCATACCTCAAAGAAAACACATCTTCGTTACGAAGTTCACGTGGTTAATGTTGTTTAGGAAAATAATTTGTTTAGTGAATTATGCAAAACACATAAATATAGTCTGTGAAGAAAAATGTCTTGTTTTCTTAAATGCAAAAGCAGGTTGTACATACGGTTACCAGTGCATTTGTAGGGTTAATCTCGAAATTTGCGGGGATACTTTAAAGTAAGTCCTTCCAGATCTTTGGCATGATCATCCGCAGTTTTCTTCCTTTCAGTGTTATAACAGCCAATACAGATGAATAATTGTCATTAAATAAATTATCAGGAGGAAGTCAGTCTTGTAGTTGGTTGGTTTTCTGAACAGTATTGATATTGAGTCTACATAAGAAGCAGTAACTTTTTTGTATCTTATTCTCCTTCTTCCTGTTCTTCTACATTTTCATATCTTCTTCTACTCCTCAATTATTTTCAATGTTCTGGCAAGCACAGTTATCCATTTAGTGTCTCAGAGGGTTGTTATGCCCTACATCCATTGTCCTTTGCCAAAATGTGAAATTCTTTTGTCAATATTTTCATTAGAGACACTTAACAAGAAACAGCTCTTAGCTTCTGGTTGGATCATCAGGCCATCTCATCGCCCTGATGATCGGAGACATCAAAAACCTCTGAAATGATGGTAAACTTCTACCAGACTACACGGCAGTACAGCCCAGAAGATGGCCATCTTCGATTTTTAGAATTTCTTTAAACCCAGAGACATCTACACTCTTACTTGTCATGTGTCCCGCTATAAATGTCTAACATATCTATGTTACTGTTTTTTGTGAATTTAATGATTTTCATTCGCGTGCCGCAGAAGTTGCACATTCACACGTGACATGGGAAACGGCATATAAGCTTAACTACTGAAGCACCAATTTTTCAGGGTCGTAAGTGCTTCCTCCATTCAACATGACATCATTATCTTAAATTACCATATAAGGCATAACAGTGTCTTTTTCTGTAATTTCCTGTTCTTGTTTTTTTTGTTTGTGAAGTGGGAGAGGGAGATTATCTGCACAGTGCATACGCTAACTCATGAGTACTGGTTTAGTTGTCGTGTGACAGGTTTTATTGCAGGGTTTAGTAGATTGTCATTGCTCTGTGGATATATTTGTGGTTGAAGTGGGTTTTGGGCTTTAATCTGTTGATTTTGAGTTACATATATAGAGTAGTAATTGTCGGATTACTGAGTTCAGGTGTGTTTGTGTGGTCAGTCTTGGCCAAAACGGGTAAGGGAGTACTTGAAGAATTATAGGTTTTATGATAAATTGATTATTGTCATATTCTTTACAATTCTTTGTTTTAAGAAAAGCATGTCAGATGTGAGAATGACTCCCATTCTGTGTGTTGGATTGTGTTTAAAATTATATGTGTAATTATCTAATAAATTCAGAAAAAATATCATCAGTATACTATTCTACACTGCATAAGAATGCTCCGGAAAGAACTCAAGATGATTACTTTCTTTGATATGTTTCAATCTAAAGCCGGCAAGAAATATGAATTTGAGATTTAGGGTTGTTGTGGTGGTGAAGGTGTGAAATGTGGTTTTCTGAGTTGTGATGCATTTAATAACATTATGGAGGAATGAATTGCCTCAATTTTCAGGGTCGTGATGGAGGTGGTGTGTTCCTCTTAAGTGCTGGCAATACTGCATAGCATCAGGACCTGCAAGACCAAGATGTCCAAAGAAAAGAATTATTATTGTTGAAAGATTCTTTTCAGTCGCCACGAAAGCGTCACCTCATACATAAGAATTATTATATTATTCGCTGATCTACTTTGTGCAAGGTTTCCATCAATATGAATTCTACCCGTGTTAAATTTGAAAGATATAACATAGGTGTTTCACAAAGTCATTCTGTTTGTAATTGTTGATGCACAGAAAAGTTTAAACAGAATTTTAAGATGAAAATGTTGCTTGGCTGTCTCGTTGTTTTACGTTTCACAAAAGAAGACCTTATCAGAAATTGCTTATTTCTGGAGTTCTGTTATCACACAAAATTTTGACGTAGCGCTTGTATTAAGAAGTGCTCTTACCTCAGAATGTCGGCGTAAAATGCCATGATAGGAAATTCTGGTGACCTCTAGTGGCATGATGTTCACACTGAGTTTCATGAAGCGTTATCAATTGGTTTATGAAGTTGGGATGGGGAACACACGTCGACATGCTTATACCATAAGTGGAATCTTGTATATGTACTTGTGATTTGTTTTGGACTTCGCCTTACAATCTCATTTCATTAGGAGACGTTTTCACATGATGATGATGTGTCCATGTATGTATCTGTCCATTTCTTTTGATTTTAAACATAAGGTGTGTGCATGTATTGTGCAATATTATCTAGAAGTACCTGTGTTACATGAAAAATTGTCTGAAACAGAAACAAGGTGCAATTTTTAAACATTTTAACAAACATATATTTCACTCTATAAAGAAGATAGTTTAAATGTACCAGCACTGAAAAGTTTAGTAGTAGAATAGACGGCAGTAACAAGATAAATTTCAAAAGAAATATTTTTCTCAGGCCACACAAACAAAGCAAAAGTTTACCCCGGTATTTGAAGTGAAGACTAGCGCTGCTTTCGCTGTCAGTGTTAAGGTTAGAGGCAGCTGCCTGAATCCATTTCTTGATAACTGCTTCTAGGTATGCTGTGTGGCTTAGAATGTGATGCAATTCTTCAGTTTCCTATGTAATGTCCTTGAATCTTGTGTTGTTGTTAATGTTTTTATTTGTTGATCCCAGAAAGCTACTTGGTATAAGGAGAACTGTTTGAATTGTTTGATTAGATTGATGACCGCTGTTAACTTCGTAATGATGTAAGCTAAATCTGTGAGTCAGTAATATAGTAAGACTTCTGACAGATAAGCAACTTAAGATGTGTTTACTTGAATCTTTAGAGGATCTAAATTTATCTTTTAACATTATATCACTGCGTTCCTCTGAATTAATTCCTTCATTTATTGTATCCAGTTGGATAATGCTGTAGTCCTATGGTATTACAGTCATCTCATAATCTGAAGTGTAGATAACGCAGATCTTGGTTTTCAGTCTCCGCATTAAGACGGAGATCTGAAGGCCTCATGTTTTATATTTTTCTTAGTGAAAACGAAACCATTGTTTTCCAAGGAAGAAAACAAATAATTTGTAAGATTTGAGGTTTTCACAGCGGTGAGTATGAAGATTTCTTTCCGATTAAGAGTGGAGTTAGAGGCAGATGAAGGCTTTAAGTGGCACGTGTCACAGGGTAATAAACTGGGCTGTGAAGATATCCAGGCATGGTGAAACAGCCTCAGAAAGTCAGTGTATCTCTGTTTAGCAATAACAATGGTTTTGTGTGATATGACTCAAAGTATTTAGTGTTTTTATTCTAGTAGGAAAAAGAGTGATAGGATCAGACTTTTTAAAATTGTTTCATAAAATACAAACATTCAAAATGAGGAAAGGCAATGGTGAGTGTCAAGTACTCAGAAACTCCCATTTAATGTTCCACAACTTGAGGTTTTCTCTCTTTTAGTGTTGAATGTATGTTATTTTAAGCTAGTAATTTCAATGTTAAAATCCTTCCATTTAAGATTTTCATCACTGCAGTATTCAGATTCTCCAAAGAAACCTTAAAATGGGGATTTCACTGTATAATGTATGGGGTTCTAATGGAGAATGGAGCTGGGATAGGTCAGTAAGTACAGAGAATGGGCTGCAGGCTGGATGACCGTCATCCAGCACAACTTAGATTTTTTCTCTTTATCACAATATCCAGAACAGTTTTGGGGCCCAGCCAGCCACCTTTCCAGTGGGTACTAGAGTTCTTAGGGGGTAAAGTGACCAGGGTGTGAAGCCAACTACCTGTCTCTATTTAATGTTGCGATTAAGGATGTGTGGATATCTGCCTCAGCTTTCCCGTGTGTCTCCGTGGTTAAGAACCAGGAACAGATTTGTCTTTGTCTTTGTTAATGAAAACTAAGAACTAAAAAAATCAGCATGTTCATGGTGTATCACCAGAATGAAAGATAACTGATAAATTTTTAAGTACTGTAGAAAATTAAGATATTCGATGATGACAATAGCAAATCAAATTTTATTCACAAAACACAAGTGAAGATTAAATGTACCTGTTGTTTTATGCTGAGGGGAATATTTGAATCTAAGGAACAGGAAATAACAAGAGGTTGGAGAAAACTGCACAGTAGAAGGCCTCATAATTTGTGTTCTTCACCACATTTTAGGGCAAGTAAATAGTGGATAATGGACCATATCTATGTGAACATGTATTTAATGTGTATTTTATGAGTTCCTTCAGCGGTATGCTTGAATAATTTTTAAAACAGGCCACATTGTTACTTCTGCATTCTTTATAATCATTTTACTCTTAAACACTACATAACTTTACAGTTGATAAAGTGTAATTAAACAAGGAATATTGTAAACAGGAATTGTTTGAGTAACATGGCTAGGTAACTTTCAGATAGTGCTCTTTAGTCCTGATCAAAATTCACAGTTGTAATAATTACCAGGGGTTACCTTGTGAGATTTGAGGTTGTCACAATGGTGATGTTGTTGTCATTCTGCGTTGTGATGACTTGCAGCTAGATGCCGGTGTTTCAGAGAAATATACTGTTTTTATCTCCAACCCTGAAGTTTGTATTGAATTAAACATGTGTTTACAACATTTGCTTTTCAGATAATTTTGTTCACCAGTTAAACGCATTTCGAATGTCATTACCAGCAACTGTCGGCAGTTTTGAAAACAACCGGACAGCATGGATGAAGAGGTTAAAGGCTTCAGTATACCGCTGTGTACCAGTCTTGTCATGGATGCCACTATATAATTCAGACAAATTCATCTGTGATCTCATAGCTGGAGTGACAGTCGGCCTTACTGTAATACCGCAGAGCTTAGCATATGCAACTCTTGCGGGGTTGGAACCACAGGTTGGAAGGAATATCATATTTATGTATGTTATTCTTATGTGCCTCTGTCATACCAAGGCATATGGGGTGTTCATCTTTTGGAAACTCTGCTTGCATTTGAAATTTGATTCCAAATGTGGTGCATTTTCATGAAGCCCAAATTGAAGTTCATAAATTTTCCCAATAATGGCTGATTGTACAAAAAATATGTGATGTGGCATGCAGATCTCATTAAGATCTACAATATATGTTTGAAACTTGTTTTAATCTAGTGTACATTTAACAGGAAAATAATTTCTGGATGTGTGCGTTGGCATTAGCTTTATAACAGATTTTTCTGTGTAATGGATGAACTTCAAAACCAGCGAGGCGTGCAAACTAAGAAAGAGCTCATTTGAATAGTATTGTAATTTGGAGATACGAAGCAAATGTTGAGAACACTGCTGTTCCTCTGTTTCAGTATGGTCTGTACTCTGCATTTGTGGGCTGTTTTGTGTACGTTGTGTTTGGGAGTTGTAAAGATATTACAATTGGACCAACAGCTCTTATGGCCCTCATGACTTACCAGCAAATCATTGGACGTAATGTTGACTTTGCCATATTGTTATGCTTCCTCACTGGTTGCGTACAGTTGCTGATGGCAGTACTCCATTTAGGTATGTGTATTTAATTGGACAGCGTGTCTCAAAAACATGTAAATACGCATTCAGTGAATGAAATAAAGACATTTGAGTATCAAATATGTCTACATTGGCACTAAATGAAATCGCAAATCTAGTGTAGGTGTTCAAAATGACCACCGTCCATGTCTTCCATAAATACGACACGTGGAGATTGATAACGAGGTTAATGTTTCGTATTATGTATATACATCTTGTTGGGACATTGTGCATTTATAACATTTACAAGGGTCATTTCAGAAGTTTCCAGTATGATAGTGCCAGCATGATATAATTTGTACAAGAAATTCCCTTTTGAACAACTGTACAGATTAGCAGGTAGGCTGTTTTATGTTTGTGAACCCTCACAGAATTCTAAGCGGTCGACTAAGAAAGAATGCAGGTGAGTTACAGATTTATGGATGTGAGATCAGTGAAGTTGGAAAAAGGCCACAAAAGTTTTATGAACTGTTGAAGAAAAGCTTCAGGATATGTGTCCTGTTTTATGGAACTGATGGTGAGTGAATGCCGTTAATTTCAGGCAAGAAGATGCAGATGCCCCTTGCAGTGGTGCTCCAACAACTATCACTGGTGTGACTCATGTGGACCATATGTTTGCATTTGCGTTCCATTTATGGCAGTTGTGGCAGAAGTGGAAACTCACTGGCAAGTGTGTTGGGCGTCCTTACCAGTCGTTGAGGGAACAGAAAATGCATGCAAGGTGTATTCTGCATATTTTGAACAGTCATCGGCTTGACATCTGTGTGCCGCTGTCCACTACCTATCTCCAGTGTTGGCAAAGGAGAGAGATATTTTTCTTGATTGGATTTTGCTTGTTCTGATTCATTGTGTGTGTACTAATCACATGAAGGAAACTTCTGAAATACCTCTTGAAGCTAAGAAACCTTCTTTATCATTTTTAATCTTTAGAAACTTGTATTTGGATCCAAACTCAGACTCAGCCCAACAGTCATTACATTCTTAAAATACACAAATGTAAGATATTTTTGCTTCTTTTTACCTCCATAAATAGTATTTTACAAGAGAATGGCTATCTTCTGGGATGCTGTGCTGCGTAGTCTGGTAGAAGTTCGCAGCTGTTTCAGAGGCGCTTGCTGCCTCTGAAATGTCAATAAATTTCTACTAGGCTACATGGCTCAACATCCCAGAAGGTAACCATGAGAATCTGAAATCTCACATGTATAGAGCAAATTTTTCCAGCAGAGGGGACCAACAGCTTACATTCTTTCTCTTCATATCAATTAACGGAATTGTCCTTCTTGTCTTTCTACAGGGGTGTTGGTGGATTTCATCTCAATTCCAGTGACTGTAGGTTTTACATCTGCTACATCAGTAATTATTGCGTGCTCGCAATTGAAAGGTTTGCTGGGACTCAGGTTTAAGGCAAATGGCTTTCTTGACACTCTGAGCAAAGTATGTAATCATATTCCAGAAACAAAGCTGTGGGACGCTACCTTAGGATTCACCTGCATTGGTGTGCTTCTTTTGCTTAGGGTGAGAGAACTGTGTCATTGAGCACAGTGGAGTATTTATATGTTCTTTGTACAGATTTAATGCATATAAGGGAGATTTGTCTGTTATGTCTCAAAATTTACTGAATGGATTTTTATGAAATTTGTGTTTGAGTGTATAATCTGAAAGTTGTCAGGCATATTTAATTTGAAGATTTCTGTCTTCTGGGTTGTTGCGCTGTGTAATCTGGTCAATGGTTACCAACGTTTCAGAGATCATACTGCCTCCGTCATCAGGACGATGAATATGCCAATAGGGTGGGTGGGGCTAGGTTTATAGGAGCGTATTCATCGCCCTGATGATGGAGGCAGTATGACCTCTGAAACGTTGGTAAACATCGACCAGACTCCACAGCGCAACAACCCAGAAGACAGAAATTGAAAACCTCAAATCTTACATATTTAATTTGGTTCATATCATTCAAGTGTAACCAAGCTTTACATTGAACTGAAAATTAACTTTATAAATTTCCTCATAAATGATTCGCAATGCAAAATATTGGCACATGTTTTAAACTGTAGAGCATATTAAGATCTACATCTGCTATTTGAAACATTTTTTTATAGTGTGAATATTTAATGGGGGGGAGAAACAAAAACGGCCTGTATTCCGTGTGATATTAATGCTGTTGTTTTGATTATGTAAATATTTAAGAACTGAGGTTGCATGTTTATATATGCGGGACTATGCATTTCGCTCAAAAAATAATTTAAGAAATTAATAAAATACTTTTTTTCAGTTTGAAGTCTATTAAGTTGGATTATTGTAATTCATTTATTTCAGAAAATTAAAGATATTAAACTTGGGCCAGAGGGTGGTAAACCAAATAAGAGACAGAAAGCCATTATGAAGACTTTGTGGCTTATATCAACAGCTCGTAATGTTTTTGTTGTCGTTATCTGCTCATTCATTGCATATAATCTCCACACAGAAGATGAAGAATCACCTTTTATTCTTACAGGTATACTCACAGTTTCTTACAGTCGGCTTCTAAATCATAATTTTTATCAGGGATTATAATATATTATTTTCCTGGGATATTGTACAGTGATTTTATAACAGTAAAAAAAGTTTTCAAATTTGTTACATTGCATAGTCAGAATTATATTTCTATAGTGTGATTTCCTTATGTTGTGTTTTAATGCAGATGGTACTTTGATTTTGTACAGGTACTGTGCGATCAGGGCTGCCACCTTTTGCTTTGCCACCATTCAGCACTGTCCTCCGCAATCAGACATATTCTTTCGCAGACATGTGCTCTGAACTAGGATCTTCAATTGTTCTAGTACCCATTATCGGAGTATTAGGAAATGTGGCCATTGCAAAAGCTTTCTGTAAGTCAAAATAAATATTAATGTGCATTTGTCGTATAACTGAAAGAAAAACTAGTGATAGTGTTGTAATGGATATGAAACATCAGGCGCTAATAATCAAAATTTTAAAGACTGTTTGTCAAGAATTAACTTTAATTTGACACTTCAGTAGTGGCTGTGAAAAGCCATGATAGCACAAATGGAGAATAAGTGTAAATATAATGAAAGATTAAATCCACTGTTTATACATATTATATTATTATGTAATTGTGAAGTATTGAGAGAATATTTTCTGTATTGGTTGAATATTTCAGCGAGTGGGGATTCAGTGGATGCTACTCAGGAGCTCCTCACGCTTGGCATCTGCAATTTGTTAGGATCATTTGCTTCTTCATTCCCAGTCACTGGTTCTTTCTCACGTAGCGCTGTCAATCATGCGAGCGGGGTCAGGACGCCGTTCGGTGGTTTCTATACAGGTAAGAGCTGACATCAGTTCAGGTGATTTTTAAAGATTTAATTAAAGAAAATTAATTTAGTATAATGATGAAATAAATGTGATGTGGTTGTGCATTTCTGGCAGCCTGTATAGGGCAGCCAGTATTTGGTGAGTTTGGATTTGACAGTCCTGATTGGTGGAGTGGAAGAAGTGTGCCCACTCTTCCATTACACCAGTCGGCTCCATCAAATTTAAACTCACTACCTACTTGCTGTGTCAGAATCCTTTGACCACTGTCATCGTCTGGACCTGAGCAAAAGTTGTTAATTCTAATATGTATTTATTTATTTTGTACTTTCACAGGTGTTCTGATTCTGCTGGCTCTTGGCCTTCTAACTCCCTACTTCTATTTTATTCCAAAGGCGTCACTGGCTGCTGTTATTATATGTGCCGTCATCTTCATGATCGAGTACGAGGTGGTGAAACCTATGTGGAAGTCAAGCCGTAAGTCAGAGTCATTTGTGATAGCTGGAACTCTGTGTCTAGATGCACTAAAACTTGCACTCATTGTTTTCAGTCAGTGTTTATTGCTTAGTGCTATAAGTTGTCAGCGCAGTTACAAAAATATCACATTTTTAATCCTCGTTGTGTCCGGTAGTTACGCTTCCTGCAGTTGTTTCAGTAACAAAATGGCTTATGTACAACAGGATGTTTAGAAAACAACTGATATGGTGTTTGTGTTTACGTCGCAGGTAAAGACTTAATTCCGACGTTTGTAACCTTCATCACATGTCTGGTGGTTGGTGTTGAATACGGAATCCTTATCGGAGTTGGAATCAACCTGGTGTTCCTTCTGTATCCATCTGCACGTCCCACGATGCACGTGGAGAAGTCTACAGTGAGTGTTGCAAAGTTGAGGTGTGGCAAGAATAACTTGCATCCATCACAAAGTTAAAGTAAATAATTACACTGTACTGTATTTTGTAAAATTATGTATATCAAAAAATCGCACGCGTTTAGCGAAAATTAAGACGGCGTAGTCTGAGCTACTGATAGCATCATTAAACAAATAAAATCTTCAACAACAAGTAATACGTTTCTGTTTAAAATACTTTTTACGGTAACATTTTGCTTACATTTTCAGACAAATTCAGGAGTGGAGTACTTGCTTGTGACACCAGGCAATAGCTTGTACTTTCCTGCGGTTGATTTCATTCGGACGAGTGTTGGAAAGGCAGCCGTGAAACAGGGCTCAAGCCAGTTGCCTGTTGTTGTTGACTGCCGATTCATTCTGGGAGCAGACTTCACTGCGGCGAAGGTTCGTTTTGTTTGCTGTACCTAACTTAACATAGAAGAGTCATAGTTAAGAAACTGAAGAAATTAATAAATTTTCGTGGAGCCCGAAGGTTTATTACTGTGTTCAAAAGAACGTGCCGTTGGATCTTGAAGGCTATAAATAAATAAAATGAAAGAGTTACCCAGCTGGCAAAATTGATGAATTGCACTTTGAGAAAAGTATTAACTATCAGAAAGTCATCAGCAGTTGCTTTTAGATATAAAGGCATTCAGCGTGTGTTGCGTTCTATAACTTTATAGTTTTACGTGCTTAATGTAACGCCTTTTATTAATAGGGTATAGCTGCGCTGATAGAGGATTTTAACAAACGGAAGCAACCGATTTACTTTTATAACACACGACCAAGTGTCATTGCTGTATTTAAAGGGGCGAGCCTGGAAGAGTTTGTACATTTTCGTAGTGAGGATGAACTGGATTTTATTCTGCAATGTAAGTACCGCAGTGTCGGATTTACCTTCCATTAGGAACTATGTAGCAGATAGTGTTTAGTTATAATTCTTAGAGGAAGGGCATGAACTTCTCGCAGCTGTAGGAGTTTTCTGTCTGCACACATAATATTGGTAGGGTAAATTATATCAAACACGAGAATGTACAGCATTCTGTCACTCATATTGTTTTTGTACAATCAGTTACTATATTCTTGGACAACGACATATCAGATGTCTGGAAAAACTTTTCCGTTTTATGAAGATTACATTCTTCTTAGATATGCTGTGTAGTCTGATAGAAGTTTATCATCATGTCAGTGGTGCTTGCTGCCTCCATCATCAGGACAATCTCAATGCCACGGTGATCTAGCGGTTAGAACGCTGGGATTGTAATACTGGGGTCTCGGGTTCGATTCCCGGCGGTGCTCAGATTTTCAACTTGTGTTGGGCAAGGCCGTGGTCTAGGCATCACGGAGTTTTCCTTCCGGGTTTCCCCGGTTTCTGTGTGGCATCCCAACAATTGCTCCACTTTCATCAGCATCTCGCAAAAAGGGGGTCACAGGAGGAGCGTTAAATGCCGCGGTCCTGGTCGAACCCATGTACTGATGGGTCGTGAATCCTGCTAACCACCAATGCACACCATGCTGAATGGTGTGTACTGGGTACGAAAAAAAATGCCTTGGTGACGGAGACAGCAAGCACATCCGAAGCATTGATAGACTTCTGCCATGTTGTGTAACACAACATTTCAGAAGACTTGCTGCTGTGAGAACCTAAGATCTGATGAGGTAAATTTGTTTACAGACTCATCTTCTTTAAGGTACATGCTCCATATGAGACTGTTAGTTGTCACTTCTCTTGGTTGTCACATTTTTATGTCTCTCTGTTGAGCAGCGTAAGTATTCATGAACTTTTTTGAACTTTTAAGCATTTTCCAACAACCACCATCTCCCCAAACGAACTGAAGTTGAAGAAAGAAGTCTTCTGGTGGAAATGAAAGAATGTCCATCTTTTGAATTGTCATTCGCCGGAGGAGTCGCTTGTAAATCTGCAGATGACTCGAACATTCGCAAGTCAGGAAGTAATGACTCTTCGACTCCGTTGTTAGAAAAATCTGAAACATCGCCAGAAATATTGAAAGTGTAGTGTGATATCGAGCTTTTAATCTCATGCAGGGAATTGTCACACGACCTTCTGCTTCTGCTGCGGAGGTAGCGGGTGTCCTATAAGCAGTGAATTTTGTTGCTATTCATATTACTTTCCAAGTTTTCTTAATTAAGTGCTCAAAAACTGAGGAAGAAAGTTCAGCATATTTTTCGCGTGAAGGTACGTCCACTCCGATTATTTTTCTTACTTCATTTGTAAACATTGTTCTTGAACACCTAAATCGTGTATGAAGCACAGTAAATTATTACAAGTACGCTTTGTATCTCTGAACAATTCCATGTTTTCATTCACAAGTATGACACTTCATTATTTTAATATTACGGTATGAAGGCTGTTTCTTTTATTTGGAGCGATTGGGTTTCTGAAAAGGCTCGCATTTCAGGCGTTTAATGCGTGGTATCAGGTACTGGCTGGACACATTTCCTCGACTCTGATTAATGAGCAGAGGACCAGTGGAATGAGGACTGCAGCCTCTGGATATCAGTCCACTGGACTACTACTTCTGGAGCATTTTAAAAGCAAAAATATGTTCAGAAGTCAATCGGCTATGAAATATTTGTGAATATATAGCGCCCATACGTGTTCTGAACATGCTGGACAGCACATCGAACAGGCAAAGTGACTGCGGAGGGACACCATCCACTCAGTTACATTTGGTTCGGAGGTTAAGAATTCACGAGTTTTACTTCCACGCCCTCTTTATAGCTTCGTGGGTCGGTAGGTCGTCTCAGGCATAACGTTACCTAGCAAAAGTTACCAAATATTCCCGCATTCCGCACGGAAAGAAGAAACTGATTTAGACGTATTTTTTTTAGTATCTCTTGGTTTCGCGTTGGTCATCTAAATGGATGAATGTATGCATTGCTTAATATTTACTGAACGTTGTCTTCTTCTGTCGTTGAGAAGTTGTAACATACTTAACTACTATTTTTGTCTGGAGGTGACTGATTCGTGTACGTGTTGTGATAGAAATGAGAGGCTGTCAGTTTGAAAACTTACCAAAATATTTAATTTAAGTCATTAAGAGTATTTATTTATGTAGTAATGTACCATTATGTAATTAATGTTTAAGAATCTCTGTTTTGTTTCGAGAGGTTTCTGTGTCTTGAAATGTGTCGCACCTCGCTTGATGTCACTGGTTTGATAACGAAAAGTTTCGCTACGACTGTGGAAGTCGAATGACAGTGAATCCAATGGGGAAAGATCTGTAGGTCTGTGGGAAGGTAAAAATCAGGGAAGTGTTTCAAAGCGTAGTTGAGTTGAGGTGTGATGAGTTGCTGCTTAGAATTAAAAGGTCACAGAGGTTATCAGCCGTTGTAAATTTATGTCGTGAGACCTAATGTAAATATCAGCTTCTTGTTTTAATGTTTATGTCACACACTATATTTGTAATTATGTTTGTGTTTCTGATCGTGCACACTGCATATTTTTTCTTGTACAAATGTTCAAAAGATTTTTGTGTAAAAAAAAATACCATTTATGTTCATTTTAAGTAGTTGGTTTGTCTTTTACACGTTTCACTATCATTTTCCATCGATGATTCCGACATTCTTCTGTCCCACTCCTTGCATCTGTGTTGAATATTTTTTACAACCTTATTTTATATACTTTATATCCTATTTGGTGTCTACGCCTTCTTTTCTGCCTAACGATTGCCATCTTGTCTTCTGTAGGATTTTAGGTTCTAGTGGCAGTGCGTACTGAGATGGCTGTCATCTGGGTTGTAGCGCCATCATCGTCAGGGCGATGATGATGATGATGATGGAGGCAGCATGAACCCAGAAGACAGTCATCTTCATTCTCTACTTGCTTTGTGTTTCGTATGTTCAAGGACAGAGTATTGACACGCCATCTTAATTTATTTACAGTAAATTTCTTTAAGTTTGCGTCACAATATTTTTCCTGTGGGGTTCTTTGGAATACTAGAAACAAATTGTACACCTCCTGCCAGGTGCTTGTAATCTGACACTTTGTCTGCTACGAAATTTTTCACTTCATCCACAGTGAGTTTCGGGTCTTTGGGCACCTTTCCTGATCTCTCATGTGGTAGGCCTATCACAGGGACATCGCTCACTGCAGGGTGGCGTCGAAGAATCTCTTCCAATTCTGCAGGAGTAACCTAAATAGCACAAGAACAAATGGAAGTAAAGCTCTCGTTAGAAACTGCATCCACTTTCACCCCACCCCTTCATAACATGGGTTTACAAGATGTAAACAGAGTTGCATATTATTTTATTACTCATACATAATAGGATTTTATTTACAGTGTACTGGAAAATTGTTAATAGTCGCTGTAACACAATTTTATTATCGCCAGTGTGTATGGGGGGCAGTGGAGGTAAAGCATGTCACAGTGACATAACATCCACGGGCTTCTTCTTCTGGGGGTACGTTAACAACATCGTGTACAGCGAAAGGGTGGAGTCTCTCCCCGATTTGCGCCGAAGGATTACAGATGCTGTCTCGGGTGTGGGGTGAAGTGGAATTTCGTTTCGACGCCTGTAGGACCGCGAGAATATCAGATCTCGTTACTTTGCGTGGTACGTGAGTATTTGGTTGCAGACCTGATTGGGAGGTAATCATTTGCCTCTGAGCTGTCTTCGCAGGATCTTTCCCGAAAGACTCTTAGGGATGCTGGTGAGGAACGCCACACCGCCTTTCAGTTGCTTGTGCTCCGAAAGTTTCGTAGCCACAAATGCTTTTATGTCTTCTTCGGAAATGTAAGAAGGTCTTTTAAGAACGACG